CATCATCATCATCATCATCATCATCATCATCATCATCATCATCATCATCATCACTATTACTTATTTTTAAAAGAAGGAAGGAAAGGTCTAGAAAATTATCGCCAAAGAATAAGGATTGACTGTGATGGCATTTCCCTAGCACATTCTTAATATTTGTATACAAACATCTCTAGGCATAAATGCTATCCCGAAAAATGCAGTTTTGAGAAAATCGAAGGTAAAATTTTTGCCCCTTGTTCAATTTCTTTAAAAGACAAGGAGAGTTTTCTCTACAACCAAACAAATATACACGCCAATGAAACCAAACGTCTCCTATAGGTAGGTCAATGCCCACTTTTGGTGTAAGTCAAGATTTCTGGAAACGCCCGAAATCTGGGTTAGCCCGCTTGTCCTTAAAAGCGACCATTATGCATAAGAGACAGTGGAACATCACTTTTTCCACTGCACAGCCCTAAATGACATCAAAGCCACCCTTCTCCCTCCGAGACCTAACTTCGACAACACACTCTACGGAACATTACAGCAACTGCAGCAGACCTGCACTTATCACTACATGGCATTGGACAGAAGGACGAGAGCCCAGATGTTGCTGGATCGATAACAACAACAACAACAACAACAACAACAACAACAACAACAACAAAAGGTGACCGTTATTTACTCACCCCGGAAGAGCTGTAGTCCACGGAGAGGTAGAGACCTCTAGCATAGGTATCTGAGGGAACAAACAACAACTGTCTCAATTTGGGACTCGTTTTTTTCTGATGATGGTTTAAAGGGGGGAGGGTACACCAGAGGCCTATCTCGCTTATTAGTGGATCAAATTTTACCAAATTTCACACATACTGTAAACAAGCATAGTAAGTAAAGATTAAAATCAGCAATCAAATTTTAGAAAAAAGTTTCGTTTCCATGGATACGGCGGCCATATTGGATTTTGTTGACATGTCTCACGCAACGAATACCGCACTTGTTGTTCATTGAAATTGATTGTTTTTTGTTTTTTCGGTTGTTGTTTTTTTGCATGCATTAGATCTAAAAATTTGTCTGTTGATTTTTTCGTAAATGAATTATAAATTTTTTAATGAATTTTTTTCCTTAGGTAGTGTTCAAGTTTGCAAAATATCCGCGAAAATCCACACTCCAGACACCACCATCAAAAATCCATTTCATATATCAAGATTTCAACAGATAAAATTTTATTATTACATCTTCCCTTCATTCTGTGAAAATTTCATGAAGATTGAAAAAAAAATGGTAGAGTTATTCAAAAACGTATAGAGAAAAATCGCGTTTTGAGAACACGGCCGATAAAGAAAAATAAAATATTGACTTTATGAGGAAGTGGCGGTGATAAACATGCCCGGTATGGGAAGAAATACGGCTTTTGGGGGTTCTTATGCAATGAAATAGTTGTAGGAGAGGCTGAGAAAGCTAAAAGTGCCTAAAACT